TGAGCAATACATTAGAGGCAGTGTCCACGGGTAATGACGACACACGTGGGAAACGGGGTTTCGGGAGTTGACTTGGCTGGTTTTCTTGTGTTGTTTCTTCTTTATTAGTTTGACTAGTAGAGTGAGTATCCTTGTTGTCAACTGCTGGAGGACTGATAACAGGGATCTAAAAAGGCTTTGTTACTAGAGAACGGAAAGTAATAGCGAAAAACGAACCTTTATACCACGATTTTTGAGGGCGGCTTCGAGTTGCTCAACCCTTAGTTGCAAATCTCCTATAACCTGGAAACAATAACAAAATTATCCATGAGGTCAAAAAAGACGCGTTCAGTTAAAGGTCCACTGCTTACAAAACACCGTAAAAACTTACTTTTTCGCTTTCTTCCCTGAATTCTTCGAACTCGCACACTTTGAGCGTTTCTGGAGTAGTAACTTTTGTATAAATATAGTAGCCCCAAAAGACGCCTAAGGAATATGTGAACAGAACAAGTTGTTGCACAAAGTCAGATGCCTGCAATGGAATAGTAAAAGTGAAGAATAGAACGCACTTCAAGAGATAAGAAATGATATGGAAACTATGAGTGACTACTGAGACAGCCTTATTATTGAGAAAGTGCTCCGATGAAATTCACTTTAGATTCAAAAGGTTGAATAATGAAACGAAAGAGAGAAACTAACTGAAAACTTACAAGTTATATTAGGTTATTTTCAAGGATTTCAATTCCAACCTGTTCAAGAGCTGCAGCCTCTGAAACTGCTGGGATTTTGGTAAGTTCCGCCCAGACCAAGCCGTTTCATCCGTAACCGAGCAGTCATCCGAACAAGGCCTAAACAATTATGTGAAAACAAGTTTTTTTTTGAAATATTGAACAGAATTGGAAGCACAAATGCAGGCCATGCAGCGCTTTGGTACGAAACACCTGTGACACAGTTTTAGCGCTCTCGCTGAACGGAAGGCTATCCGTGGAGTAGCTCCCTTCTGGCGCAAAAACTTTCTTATATTTTCTGCATCTTCTATGGAAGTTTTTACTACAATTTTTGCATTTATGGTGAGGCCGTCCCGAAACGAAAGAAATCAATAAGTGATTTCAGCGGAGACAACGTTCGCCAACAATACCGACTGTAGAAATATCTTGAACACTGCCTTTATAAGCGGTTTTAGCTTCTCGAAGACTATCAATCCCAGACTTCATCAACGAACCTCTTCCAATGGGGATAAGAATTTTATTCCGAAATACGGGATGGTCTTTACCATAGCGAAGAACGGCATCCGCCACCGGCTTCGATATCTGGAACAACCCATGAGGAGTCGGCACGTTACGAAAGACAGGAAATATAAAAATTTTCATAGAATCAAGAATGCAAAACGACACACTAAAAACGCACACACAGAAAAAACCCTCTTACCTGCCTAGCGGCGATCATGAACACTTGGATCATGGGGATGCCCATGGCTGGGGAGGATCAATTTAGTGAAACAAACTTAAAATCTGGAACAAAGGCAACTAGCTAAACGTTATTTGCATTGAAGCAAAATTAAAACATTAATTGAAGAAAAAAAGATGTAAAGAGTACTGGATAATACCAGATGTTCCTCTTTTTACAGTGAAAGAAGTAGTCATTCTTTATGGTCTTTAAAATTTTCTTCACAGCTGCAATGAATGCGGTCATAACAACATATCCACGCACTATCACTCTCAAAGTCTCAGAAAAAAAAAAAACACCTGCACAATAGCCAAAAATATCAAACTTTTCAAAATAAGACAACAAAAACAGACGAGTGGATCGATAACAAACTATCAGATAACAACCAAACATAACAATAACAGTATCATGAAGCAGCTTATTTATGGCTGAGAACGGCAGCTATTTGTTCTCGAAGTGATCTACATTTCTCCTCCATCACCTAGAAAGGCTATTACAATAGTTTGAATTGCCGAATAATGAGATGTGACGAAGCATTCAGAATTCAATACGTCTTGCGGCAGTATTTACTGAAGGGGTCAGAATTTTCCGTTGACTACATAGAAAACAAATTTAACAACGCAAAAAAGGTTATGAAGCATTAAGGTCGTCAAAATGATTAAGCGGGGTAGCCGCTCAGCCTACTTTTGGTCCACGATGAGAATATCTAGACTCTGATAAAATAATGCAGCATAAATTGCCTTTAATAACCGTTGAAGAAACAAACAACAGCGGAGCATTAGCACGCGTATCGCGTCAGTCAAGTTTCAGATTTTCGCTGATGTATAAAAAAATAAGCAAAGCAGTTCAATTACCGGGCATTACCCCACTCGTTAGATTTCAGCGAAGAATCATTCCCAGTGAAATTTTTTCGGTCTTTGAAGAACACATCCACATATAAATAAAACGAATGGTCATTAACAGACGCACCTTACATGCCTCCACAACCAATTCCGCTGATTTGAGAGCACCTGTCGATTCGACGCTAACTGCAAAATAAAGTTAAACCCCGCTGTCAATGTCCTGAACGCTAAAGAAAGTAAGTACTCACAGATGAAGTGGTCCTTTTTCCTCCCTAGTTCCACGAGAGGTGCTAAGTCGTCATGTCTGAACACATTTCCGGCTACAAGTATCTCGTCGAGCGTCAGCAACCACCGCGAACTTTTCACCTAGAATCTCGAAATAGTGCAATGTTGAAATTCGAATCTATATTAAATTTACCATCTTTTTCCCTCAGTTCGATGACACCTTCACTGAACGATTCCTGTAATCTAACTGCAGCTTCTCCGCGAACCTCACCAAGAAGACGAATTGTGGGAAGTAGTCTGAAAGAAAACTTTCGAGTCCCAATTTCACCCATACCAAGTGATACCTATACTGCAAACAATAAGGCAGGAGAGGGAGTTACCCAAAAAACAGCTTCACACATAAAATCGGAAAAAATGCCAAAAAAAACCAAAACAAACCTATAGGTGGCCGTGGCTACTGGGCTAAACTTCGCGTGATCACGCCCTATTCCTTTTACAGCATGGCAATTCGCTTCTATCTGCTGTCCCGGTCGAAGTTTTGCCACCAAGATATCGTCATGTACAATGCGGGGAGGATCATCAGCGAATTGCTGTTCCTAGAAGATATGAATACATAAACGCTCCAGAGATCAAAAATTCTGCTCAACATTGTCCACTCATCATGTACTATGTGTATCGTACAAAAAGTAAAAAAATACGCAAAAGTAGATAAAAAGCAAGTTGTATAAAAGTAAGTGATAAAATACTATGAATAAAGGAAATGGAGATGAGACACACTGAACCCACAAATATTCATGTGAAATTCACACTAAAATCTTTCCCACAAAAACCCTTACTTGATCACCACATGGAATCCACTTAAACGCCTCTTCGAATAGATTGATGACTGGTGGTAGAGCTGATGAGGTTCGGTGGCTGTAGTGGGTGCATTTCGATTTCGCGTGCAAGTCACCTTTAAAATTTCGATGTTAATCATCTTCCATTACTTAGTCGTGAAAGCTATTCGTTCTTGAAAAAGAAAAACGCTACCTAGAACTTACATTTATGTTAAAAACAACATTGCGAGTTGGATCTGGCTCCGGCTCTTCCTCGCAGTCGACTCCGTGCTCATTGATACCAATGACCTGAATACCGAAGGCAATCGTAGAATTTTCAAGAGAGTTGATGGTTAAAAGCTAAGAAATAGAAACTAAGAAGTATAAGGTAAATCGTCAAGGATTGATTCTAGAAGGCCACAAACGACGCAAGAGCTTCACCAATCCTATGAAAATGGAACGACGTACCTTTTCAGTGGGCATGAGAAATTTTCTTGGGTCAACTTTGAGAGGCAGAAGGCCAATTCGATGGCAAAGAACCTCGTCCTTCAAATATAGCGGACATTAGAAATCAGATAAATGTCAAAAAGTAGGGTGATAGTCGTAAGCCTGAAAGTGACCTTACCTGTATAACGCTAGTATTTTGGTAAAGATATATTTTCTCGATTGCCATTGTGGGAACCTGAAATATCCACCACATTTAATATCTCGATTCTTGAAAATCAAGGCCTTAGAGGTATGGCGAGCCGCTGCAAAACAGCACTGGAGTCATCAGGTCTCAACTATAATTAGTTGGATGCAAAACCTACGA